TTCTACAAAATGCCTTAATTCGATAACTGATATCCATCATATGTGTTTGCTACTTGAAGTTGTAGATTCAAATTATTTAATTTCTCGAATATGTTAAAGAATTAACTTAATTTCATCACAAATAAAGCATCTAGAATCTTTTGGCAGATTAAAAGATGTCGCATCATTAGCACAGCCTAGACATATATGTCGCATCACATCATCAGTCCATCTCCTTCGTGGTAGTCCTTTGTTTCTTGTGCCCACTGCTTTTGTAAATGTTAATCTCTTCGTGTATTCGTGATCTGATATCCTAGCAATGCGTCCAGCTCATTCAAGTCTCTGCACTATAACGAATTTTACAATATCTGGATCGGTGGAGAACTGATATAGTTCAAAGTTGTATCTTCGACGCCATAACCCATTTTCATTTACGGTCCCAAAAACCTTTCTAAGAATTTTTCTCTCAAAAATGCCAAGAAGTCTTTCATCATTTTAATATAAGGTCCACGTTCCAGTTCCATATATCAAAACCTGTCTTATTAAGGTCTTGTATATATTGAGCTTTACTGCACGTTTTATATTTTTATTTTTTAAATTTTATATTTTAGTGAACAGTTCTGTTTACTATTGCTATGCATAATTTTATTTCGTCGCTTGTCATGTTTGTACTAGCGATCCAAGAATTCTTTAACTTGCTCAAAGGCATGGTTGTTAATATAGATTATCTGTTAGATATTTCGGGGGTTTTTAGAAACCAACATGTATTTGGTTATTTTCTAGTTCACCACATGTCTAGACCTTTTCCCAATATTGCCTTTTCCAAGGAAATATTAAAGAGGAGACAGGCTAGCGCATCTCCCTGTCTTCGACCGTTATTAATGTCAAAGAACGTAGAGTTTTCTCCTTCAATTCTAAGGCATAAGCTTACGTTTTGCATTGTTAGTTAGGTCAACTTAACTAACTTAGGTGGGATCCCAAAGTCTATCATTGCATTATATATTGCAGTTCTTTTCACACCTGTCATAGGCTGCTTTGAAGTCGACGAAGAGATGGAGTGTATCTATGTTATATTCTAGTGACTTTTCTAGAATCTGCCTATGTGCTTGAATTGGATGTGTAGTTGACTTTCCAGCAGTAAATCCGCATATTGGCAGTAGAACAACCAACGACCAACAATATCCTTTGTAAGTCTTTCAAACAATACATTGCCGAAGATTTTATACGCAGATTCTAACAAAGTAATGCCTCTATAGTTCTTACAGTCCAGTTGATCACCTTTTCTATGCAACGGGCATATTATTACCTTTAGCCACACTTCTGGTACCAATTCATTCTGCCATATAAGTACTATTAGTTTATGGATGGTTGCAAAAAGTTGATCATCACCTTTTCTTATAGATTTCCGAACAGATTTCATCGATTCCTGGTGTCTCTAACACCGTCCAAGTGTGGCTGCGTACAAGTGTATATATAATACATAGAAGGTTCTTGACCTTCTAAGTGGAGCATAGAGCTTCAGTGAAAACGCGCCATCGGGTTCTATTTTGCGCTAAGGCCTTCACCTCATTCCAAGACTTTCCTTGTTTTCTTATCTCGTCCATGATGGATCTTCTCCAAGTTTGTACTGGGCGACCTTTTTTTCGTTTTCCTTGGGGATTCCACTCTAGGGCAGTCTTTGCAATACTGGAGTTATTTGACTGGAATATGCGGATCTTTGTCCTCGTAGTGTATTCTCCAGACCTCCAAGCAGGGTTGAGCATGCTGAAAGCTTGTTGCGCTTTTCGTATCCTCATACGAATATCGTCTTCTGTACCTCCGCTTTCTGTTATGACACTTCCAAGATACGTAAAGTTTTCCACATTTTCAATCTGCATGTTATTAATGGTGAATATCGTGTTGTTTCTTGCATTTATTCTCATGGATTTGGTTTTACCAATATTGATTTTCAAACCTATTTTATTGGCTTCAGTGGAAAGTGTTTCCAATTGATCAGCCACATCTTGGAACCTTTGTCCTAACAGGCAGATATCGTCGGCGTATTCTAGATCGCTTAGGCCTGTGGTTAACGTCCATTGTGTCCATGCGTACAAGTGTAATTAAGTGTAATTACTTCGGATTATTCATTCGATCTTCGGTGTATTTCCATTAAGCGGTGTTTTTGTTGTTGTTGTGTGTTTTGAGATAAGCTACTCTTACTCTGTAAAAATGTATTACAATTATAAACAGTATATTTAGTGTAGTTATTTTGATGATACAATTACTATTTATTTGCTCTCTGCTTGTATAAGAAATATTATAAGTTACAATATGTGATCGGATGATTCATCTATGTGGCTGCTCCGCTTAGCAGTGAAAACGTAAAAAAGGAAGAATTCTTTGTGCAATCTTTCGCAGAGTCAAATTTTAGACCGCGCGATGTTGCAGCGAGGGGTAAGACGTGGAGGCGCTTTTGCCAGTTTGGATTAAGTACGAACATAATGTCTTTTTTACGCAATTCTTTATATGTGCTTTTATTTGAAACGCATCCACCGCATAAAACGAGACCTTACTGTATTTGCAGTTGTGGCCTAACTGAAATATCACGTAGAGTAGATCATTTACATCCTAGTTTCAAGAAGCAGATTCAAATAGGAAAATCGACTATGTTCAAGATGTTAACTAAATATCCAGTAAATATGTTTTAGATGAGAAATGTAGCATTTTAATCAGATAATGTACATACACAGAAACGATAAACGATAAACATCGATGAGAGGACTGTCATAAAAACGATACAACTACTAAAATATGGTCGAGCTGCAGGTCCGGAGGGAATTCCAGCAGAACTAATCAAATGCGGCACTAACAAACTGTTTGAACGATTAACCTGGTGTATAAACCAATATCTAAACGGTGCACCAGTCCCGCATGAGTGGAAAGTATCCTTCATATCATCTATACATAAGAAGGGAAGTAAACTGGACTGCTCAAACTATCGAGGTATATCAGTAACCAGTACCTTAAGTCGCCTATATGGAAGGATACTTCGAACAAGAATATAAGGAACAAGAAGTGGAACAATCTGGCTTTAGAGCGGGAAGGAGCTGCACCTATAATGTGTTTGTTTTGAAACAAATAATAGAAAAAAGATCAAGTACCAACCAAGAAACCCATCTTATGTTTATAGACCTTCAGAAGGCCTATAATACTGTACCTGCTAAAAAACTATGGAAAGTTTTGCAGGAAACAAACATTAACCACGCAGTAATTAACGCCCTTAAATAGCTCTATGAAGGATCAATGTCGGGAATAAAAATTGGAAATAGACTTTCAAAAAAATTTCCTGTAAACAAGGGACTCCGGCAGGGGTGTTGCATATCCCCCACATTGTTTAAAATCTACGTGGCGAAAGCACTGTATCAGTGGGAGAGAAAGTGCAGAGGAATGGGCATTGACCTGGGAGAAACTTGCCTATATACCCTACAGTTTGCAGACGATCAAGTCCTTATAGCCAACGATAAAGAAGACCTGACATATATGGCCAGAAAACTACAGGAAGAATACAAAAAGTGGGGTTTAGAACTCCATACACAAAAAACAAAATATCTCCCAATAGGCGCAGAACTATCCAACATTCAGATGGACACAACCGAAATTGCATTCTGCACTGAATATACCTACCTAGGAATTGATTTCGACACCACAGGCACAGACAATAGGGAAATTAGAAAACGAATAACCCAGGCCCGTAGAACAATTGGATGCCTTAACGGAGTTCTTTGGAGCTCAGAAATTGGTAAAAGACGAAAATACAATATATATGAATCTCTCATAAGAACCAGCTTAACCTATGATACAGAGACATGGAGACTAACAGAAAGCAATAAAAGAAAACTCGAAGCAACAGAAATGGATGTATTTAGGCGATCACTTCGAATATCTAGTGCAGACAGAATTAAAAACGATGAAATAAGAAATCGGATGGGGGTAGATGGATCACTGGCAACAGACATAGAAAGGAAACAACTTATATGGTATGGCCATGTTCAAAGAATGCCAGAAAAAAGACTACCAAAAATCGCCATGAAATGGATACCACCAATCGTAAGAAACGAGGAAGACCAAAAGGAACATGGAAGGAGGGAATAACAAAGGCAATGAGCTCCCGAGACTTGACCTAAGAACAATGGAATGATAGAAATTCGTGGAAATTAGGCATCGGACAACGACGCAAGACGTTTTGAAACCATATATATATATATATATATATATATATATATATATATATATATATATAATGTACATACATTACAAAGCTTCCCACAGTTTTAACCAACATTCACTGAGGCGATGGCTTCAGTGAATATATTTTTACATTCAGAAGCAATAGTTGTCAAATAATAAATGCAAAATGATTTTGTTTTCTTTTAGAACTTATACATAAAAAATAAAACAAAAATAATATTCCCCGATAATTTGGTAATTCGGGAAAAAGCTCAATTCGATAAAAATCAGCTTAAGAACTACCGATGGCAATACGTACTATTGCGTATGATACTTTTATTGGTTCACTGTGGTCTGTTTTTGTATATTTTTACGCATGTTTTATACTTTCTAAGCATGGTTCTATAAGCTAAAAATTAAAAATTCCAACCACAGTTCACAGCCTTATTTTTAAACGTAAACTAAGGTATGCGTGTAAATCTAAACTATCCTGTAACAAAAAACTCAATTTTAAAAGCTTTATTTGTGATTAATTCGTCATTTGGGGTAAGTATTGTGTGAGAAGTGATTAGATGATAGTTTTTCGATTTTTTTGGAAAGGTACCTTTGGCGCCATAGCCCACATTTCCGAAAATTCCAGGTGTATAGTTAAAATGAGCATGGGCATCTATGGAATACATTTGGCCTGAAACAGAAGAGCAATTTCGTTTGGGTATATTCTAAACAGAGTTTCGCCAAATATTTGGATACTTTTTGCGCTACGGTTCACTAGAAGCCTGTAAAGGTATTAATAATTAAAAGAAAGTCTTATTTACCTTGCCAATAATAACTGCCGGGAGCTCCAACGAAGAGACGATCTCCCACCTGAAATAAAGAAAAAAATTAGATAGGTATAAAGAAAGAAATATTATTAGCAGACTTAGGCAAATATGCAAATTATATATTTTGCATATAATGCATAAAAAATGCAAAAATATCAAATTTTGCATATTTTTATAAAAGTGAGCATAAAATGTCTATATTTTGAAAATTTGGTGTTAACTATATATTTTTATATTCAAACTTACAAAATTGCCAATATTTAATTTTGTTTTTTAATTACTTGGTATTCAAATTCTTGGTATGGTAACTAATAAAAGACAGCGGCTTATAGTTTTGTCACATTTTGTCCTGGAATTAAGGGTTTGAGTAAACCAGTTTATGTCTCTGGGTAAAAATTTTTATTTTAACGGTCAGTTTCACTTGGTTTCACTTTTGTTGTAAAATTGGAGGCGTAAACAACGTGTATTTCTAATTGTGAATAATTATTGGGCTTTGAAAATGCCGAAAATAAGCAATTTCTCAACTTGGATAACACCTTACAAAGAGCTATCTATGGATATGGATAAAGTTTATTGCTCATGTTGTGGCAAAACCGTAAGTACATACGTATTATTGTTTATTTTATTTTAAAAATTTGCACGGTGGTACAAAGATTTTAAAATTGGGAAAAGTGCCGACACAAGGCTAGTTCGCAATAAATCGATATATTTTTTCAAGCATTTTTTAAACTCCTTGCGATGAAAAATAGGATACCTATTTAAAATTCAAACCATTTAATAGTCTACTGAAAGTTCGCTAACATTTTTTTTTAAATAGCATAGTTTGCTTTAATTTTGCTAAAAACAAAAACATATCATATATTGGACTTAAATAATTAAGTGCTTTTAATTTATGCTCACAGTATTTTTTCGTTAAATCCTCTTAAAGACCAAGAGCCATTAAATATTTGGGGGTTCTTCCTTCTTGCACAGTCATTTCTTGACATTTTCAAGATTTACACCGATTTTTTTTTGATTTAATTTATATATTTTAATTGTTATGCAAAACGGTTAATTTTTAGTTTATTTCTACAATCTTAGATTTTAAAAATGGGTACAACTATAGAATATTTATATTTTTTTTTTTAGATTTCATCTGAAAAAAAATTCAAATAGATGAGCATGTCAGAACCGTGAAACATTTAGCTAAACTTCAGTGTCCAAGTGCTTTCAGTCAAGTTCCAAAAAAACAAACCGAACAAGAAACTTTTAACGAAGACTTGTGTCGTGCATTAGTATCTTCTAATATACCGCTTTCAAAATTATCTATTGAAAACTTTAGTTCGTTTAAAAAAAATATTGCAAATAAAACATTCCCAGTGAACCAACTCTAAAGAGAAATAATGTCAATTTGTTATATTCCTCAGATATCCACAACATAAAAGCCGAAATAGGTAATAATTACTTTTACATATGTGTGGACGAGACCAGTGACTCGTCAGGAAGATATATTGTGCACTTATTGATTGGTGTACTTAGCGATGAAACCTTGGAGAAAAGTGGAGAAAACCAACGCTCTAACAATATCAAGGTTTCTAAAAGAAGCACTAGCAAACTTTTTTCTTCCTGTTGTTGTGCCTAATGATAAATTATTGCTTATTTTATCTGATGCCGCATTATATATGATGAAAGCAGGACAAAATTTTAAAATATTTTATCCAAACTTAATACATGTCACTTGTTTAGCGCATGGAATAAACAGAGTTGCGAAGGAAGTAAGAAAAAAATTGCCACTAGTTAACAGTTTAATAGGGAGTGTCAAAAAGTTATTCCTGAAAGCACCTGTAAGAATATAATGTTACAGAGATATGCTTCCTGCTGTTCCACTGCCACCGCAACCCATTTTAAGACGTTAGGGAACATGGTTGGAAGCAGCTAATTTCTATGCTGATCATTTTGTTGATTTAAAAAAAAATAATTAACCTTTTAACGGATGATAGTTGCCAATGCTTATTATAAACTAAGCAAGCCTTCCAAAATAACATCCTCCAACATCAACTGTCATTCATAAAATCAAATTAAAGTTTCGTCCAGAAAACTATAACTCAATTAGAATCCTCCAAATTATCATTGTTAGAGAGTACAGTTTTAATAAAATAATTTGAGTCATTGTTTCAAAACGTTAAAGGTAGAGTTGAAGGAAAGAGATCTAGGAGAAGATCTCCAATCCGTTAGGTAGATCAAACAAAAACATTGAATAACCAAGGGTTACATGAAGCCGATCAACTAGCCCAGGACAGAGAAGGATGGAGAGAAACCGTGAAAAAACTGTAAAGGCCTGATTGTGTCACCACATCCCAAAAGGGATTAGGACTGAGGAGGAGTAGTTGAATACATTTCCTGCAAAATGTTTGGCTGATTTGTTGCCTTTAAATGATATGCCTTTAAATATTCGGCAAAGCGTACGGTTTCTACATGATCGCTGTCCGGCCAACTTTAGCAGGAATGTACGAGACTTTCTACGTAATAACTACGAAGACCACTGAATTGGAAGGGTCTAATTCCTTCGTCAGCAAGGTTGCCGGATTTGAATCATTGCGATTATTGTATTTGAGGATATATACAATTATGTGTTTATTCCGTTCCGATACAAAATCGTGTACAACTCTGGCTAAGGATACAAGATGCTTGCAAGTAATTTAGAAATAACTTTGCAGTTTTTGCAAGAATTTGGCGTTCTCTAAACAAAATGTCAAATTTATGCATAGAGATTAATGGTCATCACATTGAGCATCTTTTATTACTATCTAACTTTGATACTTATTCTTTTGTATTACTCATAGTTTTGTTCTAAGGTAACAAAAACTTTGTTTTAAAAAAACCTTTGAATATATTTTTGTTTCAAATTGATTTTTTGTTTCTGTTTCCAAACTTTTTTACGAATTGTGTGCTGCATTTATTGAAACAAAAGGTAATTTACAATTAATTAAGGAACCTATTAATTAAACTTTTATAACGAAAAACTAAAAATTTTCAAATTGATTTTTCTAGAAAACGGTGTGTCCTACAGACTTAAAGTAAGAGTTCCTTTTGGTATTAGAATACCTGCAAATTTAATAATCTAGTATCACAGATGCTTAAAAGTTAAAAAAAAATAGTTATGGGTTAAAATAACCGTTGACCTACCCAAAATTCTCAATTAATGGAATCGATTCAACTCTGAGGAATAAATAATCGTACCAGTTTTCGTTTTTCTAAATAGAACCGTTCTGGAGGTATGAAAATCAACTACGTACAAGACGCAATCATAAGTAGTAGTATATCAAAGCGCTCTAGCTCCCCTCGGAAGCATTTTTGCACTACGTGAATTAGGTTAAATCGTCTTATAATTGTCTGAGGAATCTCTGGTTTTCGTTTGTCATGAGAGTTTCTGGACACCCTGTATATAGATCCATTTCTTGTAAGCACACACATGTCCAAAAGTTTGGAATACGTACAAATAATATATGGTGGTTTTAAAACTGTTGTTGATATTCATTCTAAAGCGTTTTTAAATGAAAATTATAAAAAATTTGAATCGTTTTTGTATGATCTTGGTCACATTCAATTGATTAGCGTATTACACAGTCTTTGTCTAAATCAGTCACAGTCTTTGTCTAAAACACGGTTTTACTTAAAGTTATATCGCGAATATTGTTGATACTACAGAGAGTGCTGTATCGAAAATTAAAAAAAAAATCCAAGATGACAAATGACGTCAAGGATGGTCCCAGAAGTGGTAGAAGTCGATGTACATTGATAGCTCGTAGAAATCGACTGGAATCTACAAGTGGTATATCCAGAGAAATTTCTAGGCTTCAAGGATTGAATATTGTATCGTAGAAAACCGCTACATGTTCCTTAACTAACCTACCAACACAAAATAGTAAGGTTGCAATGGGCTAGAGAAATGGTGCATCATGGTCCTAACTGAAATAACGTCATGTTCTCTGATGAGTTAAACATTGGCTTGGTATCTGATTCGCGAAGAACACTGTTTTGAAGGGCCCCAGGACGAGAAGCCCGACTAGTAACAGCCCAACCGCGTATCCCATTCGAAGGTGGCAGTATTTTGGTTTGGGGTGGTATTATGAGTGGTACACGGACGCCACTGCTGATTCTGGAGAGAAGAGTCACTGGTGCTGTGTACATCGAGAAGGTTTTAAATCCTGTGGTATGTCTATTCCGAGGGACCCGAGAGACAGTCGATGACGAAATTGGGTTTATGCATGACAAGGCACCTCCTCATCGAACAGCAGCAGTACAAAATTTTCTGGAAGAAGAAGGAATATCTACATTACAGTGGCCCTCAAATTCCCCCGACATGAACGTTTTTGAACATTCTTGGGATATTCTCTAAATACGCATCAAGAAGCGAAACAATCCCCCTATTACACTTCGAGAACTAAAAGATGTTGCTGGTGAAGAATAGGAGAGAATTCCGAAAGCCCAACTCGACCAGTTAATCGGCAGCACGCCAAATCGCCTACAGGCATGCATACAGGCCAATGGAGGAAATACTAATTATTAGTTTTATTAAAAATTATTTTTTTCTAAACTAATTTATTTTTAAATGTAAGTTGTTCACTCCAAGAGAATAAATAATTTTTTTCCATATCGTTTATCTGGATTTGAGATTTATTTAGTATTGTAAAGAATTGAAACAAAATTATGTGTAACTATTCAGAAGAGTTTATTTATAAAAAATAATAAAACGGAGAAATATTCCAATATTCCAAACTTTTGGACATATGTGTAGATATAGGTCTGAAATAATAATTTTCAGTATGTTTCATTTTCCTTCCATTTGGTAGTTTCTGCCATTACATTTATGTAGACATGCTGTATAAATACAAGCAACAGCAAATCATTAACAATATTAAAATCAGCCAACTTACATAATGATATGTAATAGATTATTAACTCTCGAATACTCAAATAAGTAAAGTATCGATTATTTTTTTATCTACAAAGCAGCTGTTAACAACTATCGGGGCCCGGCCACTTATAAATTATGGAGCCGCA